TGGAAGTCTTTCAGGCTAAAATAGGCTTTGTTTACTTACTGCATATGTGAGAAGATATTTAATGCTTCAATAATAGTTTAAAAAAATCTCCTGGGTTTTATAAGTGAAGACGAACTTTAATGTTTCTGGACCTTCTACTTTTAATTCATATGTGATTAATTAAATCTATGCAGAAAGGCTTAATTAACTTCCATATGCGTAAAGAATACTCTCTGAACTCGGGTTTGCTGCTGGTATGTATTGTAGAGTCTTGTGTACGTGTCGTAGTTGGCTGCTTTTTGTGAATATATGTTTTTTAGCCATAAACCATTCAAAAATTTACCTTCAGTTATTTTTCTTCTGCCGTTAATGTTTGTCTGAGTGCTGTTGTGGTGCAGGACATTGTTCTAAACCATTACTCCAGTTAGTTGCAGTAAGGCAACTGTTAAAATACCTGTGTATGGAAATACTGTTGCTAAGCTAGTTTTAATTTTACAGTTTGAACAACTGCTTTTAACAGTGGTTTGAAATAGAAATAATTGAGCTTGATGTTGCATTTAAAGTAGTACTAATGTTGTATTTAAAGCAGTACTCGCACAGGCGAAGAGTTTGCCTCAATGCTTAATAAATATGTTAATGTCTTTCTCTTAAATAAAATTATATTGAAATGTAAACTAACTGTGGTTAGAGGGGCTGTCATAAGGAAAGGGCTTTATAACGTGGATGGAGTGTTGTTAAAGCCAGCAGTTACCTGTGAGAGATTTGTTCTGCTTCTGTCATTCCAGTATTTAGGCATGGGTTTGAAAGGCTTCTAGAATGATGGTTGAATCTTTCTGCTCCAAAAGATCAAGATTAAATAAAGCGGTTGATATAATTTGAAACAGTTACTTCATATTAAAGAAATGGTCTGTGGTGATTGGACCTTCTGTCAGTACTTACTGCTCTTTTGGTATGTGCTTTTAACGCTATTTTGACTGTGAGGATTGAGATAGATTGCTTACCTCTGGAGAATCAAAATGTGGCAGATATTTTGATTATCGCCACATTGAAGACTTTTTTTGTTCACTGTGTTAAAAGAAAGAGTATTGAAGTGTTCAGAATATGGTAGAAAATGATGTTTGAAGGAATAAAGCTGCTAATCTCAATGTTCTGAGTGATGAATACATTCTGTATATTGTTTAGTTTTATCCCAGCTCTTATTTCCAATTATATTTTCCCTCAATTGTTAGAACTTCCAGTACAGTACATAGAGATAGTTTTTTTTCCCTGCTTCAGATACTGCTGTTACATCTGGCTGAAAGGCATTATCCTGTGATGTCCATTGCAGTTGAGGGTGGTACAAGTATTGAATTTTAGGTAGTTCTGTTAGTTTATTTTTGCCTAGCATTCACAGGTAATTAAAAGTAATCAATAAAACTGAAAAAATAACATCTCAGTTAATGGAATATCATCTCCATCCTGATTTCTAATATTTCAGTTTACTCCTTGATCCTCTTCCTTCCTTCTTTTGTGTCTTTGCTCAAGTGTTTCCTTCTTAGTTCCTTAGTGTCACTAAAACACACACACCACATCTTTCCGGGAAACACCAAGAGGATCAACAGAGTAAGTGGAGTAAAACTAGTACAAACTGGTTTAAGTAACAGCTTAAAACTCATGCTGTTATTCTCATTAGGAAAGTCTGTCATATATGAGACGGACCACCTACATGATATTTTGAGTTCTGCAGCCTGTATTTTTAAAGGTGAGAAGTTATTTTGGGAGAAGAGGAGAAAATGCGCAATTAAACATTATATGTTTATAGACATTCTGAAAATGAAGCCTGCTTCAAAAGCAGTGGGATCTTTGAAATGAAACGATCTAAAAAGTAGATGTTTACCAATTGCATGAAATAGAAAACAATTCAGAACTTACAGCTTATTTACTTAAACAAATGTTACGAGGTTTTCTTAAATTTTCTGATGTTGGAGGGGGAGAGGTTTAGTAAAAGGGTCCAGAAAAGTACTGCAAGACCCAGGCTTGCTCATGCAGCATAAGTGATTTGAAGATCATCCCTGTCAGAAGGCACTGGAGAGTCTGGGCCTTACTTAAGATACAGAATTTGTTCAGATTGCTGTGGTAAAATAGCTTTAGCTTATGAAAAAGAATGACTTACTGTAAGCAGTACATTCATGTTAGAATGAAGTTTTATACATATATATGCATCTGGTATATATTAATCTACGTTTTCTTTATACGTATGATACTGCTGTATCAGATTTCTTTTTAAGAATGTGATATTTTAAGATGAGTTCTGATAACAGAGCAGTTAAGTGGTGCTTAAAACAGAACACGTAGTTAATTTACGAGAAGTGGGGGCATAATTAATTCTCTCTTAACTGTTGTTTTAACTTCATATATACTAGTCATCATTGTAGTATGTGGTCACCCCATATTGCATAAGGAACAACAAAGCACAAACCAAGGGTGATCTTTGTGTCTTCAGTAAATTCTTGAGATCTGTTTGGCTTGAACCTTGGTCTGTCTTTACCCCTGATTTCAGTAAGGACAGAGAGGGCAAATTGCAGAGGATGACTCAGTAGATCATCTCTCATTTGCCACAATTATTTTGTATGCTACAGATCAAAAAGGGATGTAGAAGTTCTGTTCTGATTATGAAGTAAATATAAACCAAAAAAATTGAATATGTAACAATTTCAATAGGGTGAGTTGGTTTTTAATTGTTTCTGAACTTGTTTCTATGTAAGTAAAATAGAAATGAAGGTATACTGCTATTCATACATTGAAGGCATATGCATTTGTTTTCTTTTTCCAACGGACATTTTGAAAAGGAGTCTCTGCAAGATGCGTGGTAGGCTTTATTTGTGTTCTTGTAGAAGGTCTTTTAGGTATGCAGATAAGAAAATTATTATGCAGCTAACGGTATTTGAGTAATACAAATTATTTTATGAATGCAGTGTAGTAATAATGATGATAGACACATAAGGTCACTTGAGATCTTTACAGAAACACTCCTAAAGGATTTAAAATAAGATTTTTAAAAGGAAATAAATGTGGACTTTTAAACTTTTGTTATAAAAATTGATTGTTTTCAATATACCTGTGTATATTAAAAAATACATGTATTGTGACAGCTTTCATATTACTACATGTAATCGCTCATGTTTTGGTTTTGCCCTTCAAAGTCAAAACAAGCATATAGGTCAGCTTTGTAGGTCAGTCAATGCAATTTATTCAGAAGCTATTTTTGAAAAGCTATTTTTAAAAACCACAGTATAATTTCTAGTGTCATTACATTAGTCACGAACTGACTTACAGAAGGAATTAAAGCCAGTGCTCAGAGGTAGTCTTGTGTCCGTGATTACATGAAGCAAGCATGCTGGGTCTCTAACGTCATGTTTTCTCAACCTGCTTATAGGTTAATTATCTTTGTCATCTTGGCAAAGGATGCAGCAATCCTGCAACGCATAGTCATATTAATTTTCCCCTCCCTCTTCTGAACTTTAAAAAAGGTTTTGTCCTTCCTGTAGAAGGTAAATCTGGTATTATACAAGCAATTATTTTAACTGTACCATCTGCATTGACCTTACAGAAAGTATAATCAATATTAATGCAGGTGTTGAGGAAGCTAAATTTTTGTCTGATGGCCTGCCTTATAAAGGTGAGGACTGGAAATTGATACATTTCAGGATCCATATAGAAAACAGGAGGACACTTGTTCAAATAAATACATATTCTGTTCTTCCTTATGTGCATTTTTGCTAATTGCTGACTTGTTATTGCTTTGTGCTGAGAAGTCCGTTTGGGCAGTCCATAGTAATCTAATTTACCGCTTCATAAAGGAGTAAGTTTGGGAGGCGTATCAGCAGTAGCCTGTGTTTTATCCAAGGCGAAGTAAGTAATATCACTGCACTTCTCAGGACAATAGATGAATTTTGCTGTTCTGTGACTTCATCCATCTTGCAATGAAGGTGAGGACTGTGTCAGTTTGTGGTTCTCGCTCAGGACCTGTGGGAACAAAGTTGCTTTCTTTCATCCTTGTGAAAGAAGGGGCTTGTCGGAGTGCTCTTAGCAGCCTGCCGGTGCAGAAGGGTGCGGGGCAGGACCAGCAGTCAGTGCTTGCCCTGGAAAAGTGTAGGCAGGAATGGGAAAGTGGGACAGGCGGCAAGGAGAATGACATTCCTGAAGGGAGGAAAAGCTGAGGTGATGGCAGAGGGGCGGGAACTTTTGATAGTGTAGGCCGGGCATGGGAAAGTGGAAGCAGCGTGCTGGGCAGTCTGAGGCCCCGATCTGAAAAGCAAAGCCCAGCACTTTGGTAAAATGCCCCAGTGAAATAACTGATAGTTTATTTCACGAGATATTTTGCTAAAAGGAAAACTGAGATGTATGTGTTTACAATATAACGCAAGTCCAAAGGCTCTTTTTCTTTTTGATGATGGTTTTACCAGTTGTTGCCCATCTGTAATGGGTGTGGTAAGTGTGGCCTTAGTACAGGGAAAAATAAAGGTAGTTGTGTTTCAGAACTGGGCTGTAAAATCTTGCAATTGTGGACTGGTTTAGATCAGTATTTTAAATTCAATAACTTTGTATTTTAGGTTTGGAAGCCTTTTGGCAGGGTTTTGCCCAGAGCTTTTGTTAAATATTTTGTTTATTTCATTCTTCCAATGTTTGTTTGTTAAGAAGTAGAACATGCTTTTAAAGCTAGAAGTGTATAAACTGATGTGTTTTCCAGGTAAATTGTTATTGGCCTGTAAAACTTCATGATCTTCCTGCCTTCCTTTATGCCTTTTTTGTTTTATTTTGTTTTTAATGTTCTGGTGTTTGCCTCTGTGGGGTAGGGGAAGCAGGCAAGGTGAGATGGGAGGGAAGAGGAAGAGGCATTATTTTAGTACAGAAAGGATAGCTAGTTTAATTTAGCCAGTTTCCACGCTTGTATGTGGGTATGTTCTGTTCTTCTGTCTGTAAAATTCAAACATTTATTCTTTGTTTAGGAAATCTGAAGGGAGAGCCCTACTTATGAAGAGATGACGTGTAATGGCCCAGTTAACGCGGAAGCTTGTGCCATTCCAGACACTGACCACAACCAGGAATGGGCAGAGGAACACTACCGACTAGAAACTTTCGTTGAATTTCCACTTGACTGTCCAGTTTCAGCATCAGCACTAGCACGAGCTGGCTTTGTTTATACTGGAGAAGGTGACAAAGTGAAGTGCTTCAGTTGCCATACAACTATTGGAGGATGGGCGCTGGGGGATTCTGCAGTTGAGAGACACAAAAATCTTTCCCCAAATTGCAAATTTATTACTGAATCTACTTTTCTGGAAAATAACAGACGTCCTCTTGTCCAGAACTGTGAGCATAGAACTGAAAATGGTTCCAGCAATGCAGCCCTCCTGTGTGCTCTGGATGACCCATCTGATGTGGAGGCGGATTACCTTTTGAGAACTAGGCAGGTTGTGGATATGTCAGATAATTTGTATCCTAAAAACCCTGCTATGTGCAGCGAGGAGACAAGATTAAAGTCTTTCCACAACTGGCCCCTCAATGACCAGTTGACACCAAAGGAATTAGCTAATGCTGGATTCTATTATACAGGTGTTGGTGATCAAGTTGCATGTTTTTGTTGTGGTGGAAAATTGAAAAACTGGGAACCCAGTGACCGAGCTTGGTCAGAACATAAGAGGCATTTTCCCAAATGCTTTTTTGTCCTGGGCCGGGATGTTGGAAATGTTCCAAGTGAATCTGTTCCCACTGAGCTTGGGAGAAGTGGCCTGAATGATGCACAGTATCCAAGGAATCCATCTATGGCAGAATATGGAAGACGTTTACAAACATTTTTAACTTGGATATATCCTGTTGACAAGGAGCAACTTGCTGAAGCTGGGTTCTATAGCATAGGTAAGCCAGACCTTAAAATGGCTAATGTCTTTTACAAAGAAATTTTATATAAGTATCTTGTTATGAAAAAATAAGCTTTTTTTTTATTATTCTAACATGGAATGATTTGCCAGAATTTCTTTACTGTGTACACTACTTTTCATAGTTCTTGTGTAAAATGATATATATTATACCAAGTATTTTTAATAGCAAAGTATAAATTTGGTCATGGATTCATTTTTAGCAGTAAAACATCAAAGCGTGTTTTCCTTGCCTGCTAAAACCCTCGTAATACATCTTTCACCATGACAATTACTGAAGTTAATATTTTTTTAAAAAAGGAAGTGCTGTCCTCCAGATATCTAACTGAGGTCTAAGAAGTAGGCTTGTAACCCATACAGAAGCCTGTGAACAAGGCAATCCAGGCTGTGTGCCATTTTATTTAGTTAACATGTTTGCATTATCATAGCATTCCGACATCTGAAACTAGCAAATGCCATTACTACTTACTGTAAAAGCTTTATGAAGACAATAACTAGAGTGGAAGAGCTTTTACTCCTAGCCATGTAGTATTCGACTTGGATAAGACTCCAATGTCTTTGTGCACTAGTTTCCCCATTAGGTTGAGTTGCACAGTGCTGTTAAAGCTCTTTGAAATTCTTCCCTGAGAGATGTATGAGTGCAAAGTGTTGTTATTATTAGGTCACAAAGGAAAGGGGATCATCCGGGATAATTTCTTGTTCTCATGTTAATTGGCTTCTCTCTTAGTAGCTCTCAGAAGAACTTTTTAATCTGATTCCATTTGTTTTGCTTGTGGCCATAAATAAAACCTTTGATATATTATTGTATGGGTGATATACGGGCAATATTTGTACCTAGCAGAACTGTTTCTACTGATTTCTTCTTGGATTCCTAAAAGTACCCAGCCTCTCACAGCCAAATGAGATCTGTATTGTGGAGCTATACTAAGTGGGCACCAGCTTTTCAGACCCGAAGGCTGTTCGAGTGACTTTGGTGAAAACTCTTGTTTCCTATGGCCTGAGAATGATTTAGCTCTTGAAGGAAAAATCTATCCGTACCTCCTCTCATTTCAATAAACACAATATCTAAGCAGTTTCTGGCGCAGTCTTTGATTACAGTAGGCATAGTGCTAGAACAGAGAAACTGCAGTTTCTCCTAACTTGTCCTCAGTTGGTTATGCTACTGCTGTATTAATCTTAATGGTGAAACGGAGGACCAAAAAGGCACGTAAACATCCTTAATTCTTTGTGGTAGACTACTTCATGGCTTGTTTAGCAATGGATTGAGCTATTTGATAATAGATTATTTTTAGCTTTTACTTTTTATCTGTATAATTACTTGCTAAAATACAATTCGGGAATATTTCATGTGACTCTTATTTTGTATTTTTTAAGCTCAAGTCTCTCACAAACATTTGTTTCAAATCTCATGTATTATGTCCTCCTTGAAATTTGAGTTCTTTTTAGTTACAGTTGCTAATCAATAAAATAAATATTTTTTCTTAATAATGTAACATTTTACTCAAAAACTTATTGTTATGCCAACTAGAAGTATTTAACTTTATTCTTGTGTGTTTCCTCAGGTAACGGTGATCATGTTGTGTGTTTCCACTGTGGTGGTGGATTGCAAGAGTGGAAGGAAAATGAAGACCCATGGGATCAACATGCCAAATGGTTTCCTGGGTAAAGTATTTTTTACTGGTTTCTTGTTGCATGTCTGAGTCTTATTTACAGTATATTACATTTTAATGACAGCATACTAATAAAGGTTTCAGAAGGTTGACTATGACTTAACATTGTTTAGATTTATGAAAATAACTTAATTTTTTTTTTAGTTGCCCTCCTCCACTTCTTTCTCCTTCATTTTTGTCATGTAGGCACCAAAGGAATATCAGTTGTCTTCCAGGGTTTATGTTTTTCCTTTTCAATAATTAGAAAAGATTTTAAGTAATTTTTTGCATGGGGACCTTTTTTTTTTTTGTTGTTCCATCTGTTCTACCTTCTGTAGTCCTGCTAGTATATGTATAATCATCAACATATGCTTTAATGTTATATTGGAGGCCTCAAAAGATGACATTAACCTAATGTCTTCTCTGAGAGGTAGGAGTTCTCTAAAGTGGGTGGGAAAGAAAACTAAATCTCAAGAGGTGGAAGAGGTTGAGTGTACAACTAACTCATTAGAGGTGATCAGTCTGAAAAGTTGTCCTGAAATTGTACCTTCTGAATAACTTCAAGTCAGTGTTGTTTCTGTGTCAGCTCGTTTGTAGGAATTATTAAAGGGAAGAGAGGATTTCTGTGTCTGGATTTAGCTGGTGTCTCAGCTAACAGAATCGTGAAGTTCTGTTGAATACACATCTGATTTTATTTTTTCCTCATTATCCAAGTGCTATGTTCTAAGTGTTATTTTAATAGCTTCATACACATCAAAGTTTGTAACTTATGTCAGGATACAAAATCACAAAACTTTTGTCATGGTGCAAACCTGAAGTAGTCAGTAGCGGTATTGAATTCAAAACATACATATGCATAATTTTAAAGGATTGAGGATTCCAGACCCAGAATTAGTTTTTAGAAAGACTGCCAATTTTGTCTAAAAATCTGTTTTTAGGAAAGGAGGAATAGTATATGATACATTGTTTCTTACAGGGGAATAAAAGCTGTCCAAGTACAAAGACTTAGTTACTTGTATAACATTGATAAAATCAATGTCTTTTTGTGCGTTAGCTGCCAGATTTGTCTTCTGTGGTGAAAGGCTCTCTGGAAGCTGGAAGTTAGTATTTATGCATTAGCTGATCCTTTTTTCAGTAGTGGTACAGGCAGCTTTTAATTATTAGTCTCTGCCACTTGAAAGAGATGCCCTTCTAAGTTTTTTGGCTTGGTGCAGTGAATGGTCAAGATGCATTTTCTTGGTGCATTTCAGTCCTCCTTACCTGGGTTTGATTTGGTTTTAGGTTGCTTAAATTATGTCAGATTTGATTACTTCCTCTCAGATCATTAACTGTCATACGTGGAGTTTTTGTTTGCACATCAAGTTCAATGGCAGTGTAGCAGTCTCACAGCATGCTGTCTGTGTCCGTAGACAGGACACCCTGAAGGTGAAGTGACTGCTGAAGCAAGAGAACTGTTGTCGAGGCATTCCCCAGATCTTCTGATAGGGAAGAGCTCTGTCCAGTGGCTAGGACTGGCTGGAAAACAGTGAAAGAAAGCATGTAATGCACCTGTCTGAGCAGTGACTGCTTTTCTTCGATTGCAAAAGACTAAAAGAACCAACATTTTAACATGTTGGTTTTTCGTTGGAGTTTTTAGTTTTATAAACCCGTGGCATCAATGGCTATGGCCAACAACTCTTCAGCTTTCTGTTTCACCAAAAATGTGAAAATGTTAGGTACTGCTGAAGTGATTAAGATGTTTTTAGAAATGTTTAAATGATGTTACTGATGTTGGCTAAGTATTTAGAGATTTCAAAAGCAAGCATTCTGTATGATGTAGGAAATGTATTGAAACTTTCCTGAGTTATATAGTCAATTTTTGTTTGCTGCTTCTGCAGTTTTATTATAACTAAATATTTTCGTTTGTAGGTGCGGATTTGTGAGAAAGGAAAAGGGGGTAGAATTTATAAATAACGTTCACTTAACAGATGGACATAGGGATTCAACAGTAAGTGTCTTGCTTATTAATCAAATATTATTTTGTTAAAATAGAAAACAATCAACATAATTTTCATATGAAATGAAAATTACTACTCTTCTAATTATCTGCATATCGTTTAGTCCTCCTCCCGCTTCTTTCTCTGGCAGAAAGTGAAAGACGTCAAAGTATGTTTTGGGTTCTGTCATTCAGGGCTTATAGATCTCACAGTTCTCCTTGGTTGGGTTATGGATCACAAGTAGGGTACCTTCTATATGTTGGATATTTGGCACTGAATAAGTCCTATTTTTTTTTTGGTTTTATAGCCTGGGAACCTAAGGTTTATGATGAATAATTTCCTTGTTTAAGTGTAGAAGATAATTTTTCTTTTCTTGTTGGTAGAGCATTGTTAAACTTGTATGTAGTCACTAAAAAGTAAAACTGATGTTATTTAGAATTCTTGAATAGACTAAGAATCATGTACATCTGATTATAGCAAAGATGGGTTAAAATGAAAATTTTAAACACTATGAAAGAACAAAAGATTGATCCCTTTGCAGTTGTTCAGAGCATATTTAATAGTTCTAGTCAATAAAATTATATATATATATACAGTCAATAGCTATTTTATGTCTTGTAACTATATAGGTTTCCTTCTACCTTCTTCAGAATTGTAATTGTGTCTTTCTGTATTTCACTTTTAGACAGAAGCTGCTGAAGGGACAATACTTCCTAAAGGTATTTGTTTAGGCAAAAAACCCAAACCAAACAACCCTCCCTATTTTGGAATATCCATATTTGCATGTATAGTAAATAAAATGGTTAATTTAAAAAATAACTATATTACCTTTTAAAATAAAGTATGACAGGGAAATTGTCAGAGGATACTCTTTCGTTGCTTCATTGCTTCTAAAGAACTGTGGAATGAATGTTGTTTCGCTTAGGGGAAATCTAGTCATGGTTGCATTAATATTGTAAAGATTGTAAACCACAAAAGAACTATGTATAGAATGCAGTCTTATTTTTATAGCTAGTAAGTTTGCATCAAGTATTAAATTAGTAGTGCTGTGGGATGGATGTTAAAGAATACTGAAATGAAACAAATCATTGTTGCTTTTCACAAGGCAGGATGAGTTGGTCTGTTAAATGGCAAGGACTAGAAAGCTGAGAAAGCTTAAATAGCTTGTTATGTGTTCCAGTATTACACATTCCTGCGATGTTTTTCACAAATACCAAGCAGTAAAAAGGCAAGACAGTTAAAGGGGTAGTAGGAAGACAGTCAAGCAGCTTCATCACAGGGAATGATAGCTGTTGCTGGTAAGAGTGGTTACACTAAGTCTATTTTAGAAATCTCTCACACACTGCTCATTTATGAGAGTGAAAATTAGGTTTAAAAATTTTGCTCTTTGAACAGTCTTGTTAAGTAAAGAAGGAATTAGTCATTTATATCTAGCAGAAGAACTGGAAATAAGACACACTGTTAACAACTGTATTCAAAAAAATTACATTGAAAAGAGGAAGGGTGAGGTCCAACAGACTTGAAAAATGGTTTCCCAAAGTAGCGTTTTGTGTTAGTGGATAGGCTGGCTTGCTGATTGTGCTGTGTTTTGGTTTTGGAAATTGAAATTATTTACTGGTTTCTCTCAACATATGTATGATTTTATTTTTTTTCTTCCCTGAACTGAAGTAAAATTAATGTAATGTTACCAAATACTTACATGCCTTGTTCCTTAGAATTTTGGATGAATTTCAGTTAACATTCAGCTATGGAATTTATGATACTAATTATATAAGACATTTTATTTAAGAAGTTGAGGTAGTTATTTTAATAGTTGATTTGAATAGCAAATAGGAGGATTTCTATGTTATAAATGGATGAAGGAAGACTGGGAAAGCTAGGATGGAAGAAATCCCAGATCTGCAGTTTTGGGTGTTTTGATAATGCAGTTTTTACAACTAGCAAAATTCTCAAATCAGAAATATAGTTCCTTTGGCTAGGTATTTGAAAAGGTGTCCTAGAGTACTATAGTGAATACTGTCCGATAATCAGAATCATGCTTGTTAAATTCTTGCTTTGTTTTGTTGTTTGTTTTTTTTTTTTTAATTTCTTGTTTTAGATGATCTCTTACAGAATCCTTTGGTACAAAGTGCCATAGACATGGGTTTCAGTTTGTCTGAGATTAGGAACACCATGGAAAGGAGATTGCAGATGTCTGGAGAAAGTCACACATCTGTTGAGGATCTGGTAGCAGACTTAAGTGCTCAGAAAGACAATACGAGGGAAGAAGAACCAAATGAAATCCCAGTTGAGCAAGATGAGCTTATTCAATTACGAAACCTCTGTGTGTACTTTCATATCAGCTCTTTAGTCTGTGAAATATATCTTATAGTTACCTGTTTATTTTACCATCTGATCCAAGTCTTACTTAAGGTGAAGTTACAGTATTGTAACTTAAAATTAAAGAAATTTTATTTTGGACATTAAGAAAAAAAAGCTGAACAAAGAGGATGTTACAATATTTAACTGTAGCAGCATTTATAAATATCATCTATAAAATAAGTAGTATTAATACCTCACGAGTGTATAATATTGAAATAATAGTCTAGCGTCCTTCTGGGAAAGGTTATACATGCTAACTAAAAAGCCAAAATTATTGTGACAAGGACATTTAAAAATAAAAGCAAGAACTATAGATGTGGGGTCTCTTGCCCAATGAGAAAAAGTGTACTTCTAGACAGTGTTTCTTTTCAATTACTTGTGTTCCCGCTATGCTGGGACATGCAAGTTATGCTCAGAAGGCCATTGTGGCACACTGCAAATAGACCAAACCCAAGATTTCTGACTCGGGAGACTTGTAGTTTAAGACAAGCGTATGGGTGAATTCACAGAGAGGGAAAAGACCATCTGGTTGGCATGACAGGCAGTGATCTTACCAGCCCACTCTTCTTAATAGGATTTTTAATGGACATTATGCGGGGAAAAAAACTTGCAATGAAGATAGGCATTGTTCTGGGCTTTGCAGAGCTTTCCCCAAGTGGCAGGGGAAGGCTTTTGAAGTTTGTGTTTTCAAGTGGGGCATACTGGAATGATAAAGAGCTCATGTGCAATGCAAAATTGATTCTTTCTGTATTACAAATTTTTAAGGTTTTGAAGTATGGGTATTTTGAAAATGGCAGGAACAGAAATCACATCCTCATTCTTTTCATTGGGGAAAGTCTCTGAAGAAAAAAAAAAAATCCAAATTACTTAACCAGTATCAACGAGCCTTTCTTTCACCTTCTGTACAAGTTTTGGGAAAGTTGACAATGGGAAGTCTGGGAAAAGAATGGTTCCTGATTTAAAGATGCATATCCTAAATTCTATAGATATTTCAAGATCTTGCAAATATAGATAGCTGAATTCCCTGCTTGCATTAGCCTGGGAGATGTAATAAAATGAGATGGGAGGAAAAAAAAAAAGAGGATTCCATGCTGCAGCTTGTTTTCCATCTCTTGTATTTTTTTCTTTTTAAAGGTGTGACCTTTAAATCATATGAAGAAAACCTTGTCCTTGAGTGTAAACTGAAGAGAAAAAAAAAAAAAAGTGCAGTGGTACTAAGTGTGTTAACTTCTTTTTATGTGCTTTTTTTTTTTGCTTAGATCTCAGTACTGAAGAGAAGTTAAGACGCTTGCAGGAGGAAAAGCTTTGTAAAATCTGTATGGCTAAAGACATATCAGTCGTCCTCATTCCCTGTGGTCACCTAGTTGCTTGTAAGGAATGCGCTGAAGCACTTCATGAATGCCCTCTGTGTCGTGCAAATATTATGAAAAGACAGGAAATTTTTATGTATTAGAGAAACATACAGCACTGTGAATACAAATGTTTCCGACGTTATTTAAATTTGTGTAATGTAATGTAAAAAATAGAGTTAATTCCAGGATGTAATCGTATGGCAGTATTTAGATTTTTCTGCTGTCAAACTCTACAGACATTTTAACATCTTAAAAATTATTCTCCTTAAGTGAATATTTTGTATGTAAAACCCAATATTGAAAGGCAAATATATATATTCTGTAACTGCAATTCATAGACCTGATTTGGGAAAGCCTAAGTAATGCAAAGCTTTATTTATAGATCATTCCTTTGCTTCACTTCGGTAGGACTCTCTACAACTGAAGTTTATGCAAATACAGTTGTATAAAGAGTCTGGCCTGATATAAAATTTGTAAATAAGTGAATAAAAAAAAAAAGTATTAGATACATGTATATTATGTCTGAGATTTTAGCTTCTCAAAAATGTTATGTAAGATTGAAAATGTTATCTTATTTCTGTAACTTCGGTTGTGACATAATTCAGAGAATACGCGTCAACCAGCTGCTTCAATATTTCACCTTATGTTTGCTGCTGCTGCTTTGTCAGTTTGTCTGTTTTGATATATAATTCCTGTCTCCCCATTTATTTTTTCTGGCATAGATGTATAAATTGGCTTCAGTAAACTGGTTTTAGCCATCCACAAAAAAAAAAAAAATTCACAAAAATCCCCCTGTATATAAAATGTACGTTAATTTTTTCATAAGAGAAGATTATACTCTCTCTCCATGAAAAGGCTTTTTTTTTTTTAATCACCAGTAATGTTAGACTTCTTTCTTTTTTGTTCTTGTCAGCTTGCAGCATTTAAATTTAAAAGTTAAGGTGACTCTCACTAGAAGAGATCTTAAAATACTTAAACTCTTTCTTACTGATCAGATCCTCAATTCTCCAATTAAAAAAGTATCACAGCTTTGCATTTAAGTACAGCTGGTTTACGATCACTCTGCTTAATTATGTGACTTCCTTATTTTGTGGAGCTGCTAATATGTTCTGTGTATGTATTTTTATCTTTGAGTCCTACACACTACTAGATTTAGAATATGGAATACACAGAATATAGTTTTTCACGTGATGAAAGTTTTAAATCCAATACACAGACACTTAACGTATACTATTTCTATTTTTTTAACTATGCGCTGTGATTATATGCTGGTGTAATGTTATGAGTATTTAAAATAAAATGCAACCCAGTTGTTCCTTGATCAGCACATTTGATTCTCACATGGAAAAAAAAAAACCTAAAACCATAACAGAAGGTTGCTTTCTGTTGCTTTTTTGTTTTGTAAGTCAACTGTTATTAATTTAACCTGAGTGTTATTAAGGATAACATATATTTTAATTGGAGAGGAAATAAAATCTATTGTTTGTATAATTAAACTTTGTTAATTATAAAATTAAAATATGTTAATTTTGCTATTTTTTGTCATAAATTAGAATTTGATTCTTAGGAATAGATGATGTCTAGAAATTCATAGAGAATTGAGCACAGAAAGGTTTTATTTTGCCTTTTTGTGCCTTTGTGAAGAGTTTAGAGTTTCAGATAATTCACGTGTACGGGGATTTTTGAGGACAGATGCGGACGGGCAGTTCTGGCAGGTTTGTCTCTAGCTCCCATTTTCACTTATGGGGAGGGTTTTCTGTACTTTTCAAGGGGAATTTAAAGGGGCGGTTGCGTGTGAGCTGGTATATCTTGCCTGAAATAGCTTGTTTAGTTAATGTTGCAAACCGTGTTATGCTGACTCGCTTCAGCAGATGGCTTGTTACCTAACCTTGACCCAAGTCCTGTGAGAGAGACTGTCTGGGGGAGTCGGATCCAACTCAGAGGCTGCAGCACTCGGCATGTGGCTCAGCAAAGCCCTGGCGGGGAAAAAGATTGACCAAATTTTACTTAGAACTGTTACAAAACTAAATCCTAGTAAGGACGTGATTTTGGATGTAAGTATAGTTTGTAAACTGTCTGAGAAAAGCCTGGAAGTGGGTCACAAATGCTGCAACTGAACTGAGAGCAAATACATTGTCCAAATAATAAGTGAGCAAATAGCAGAACTGCTTCGTGTTAAAGCTCGTGAACTTTTAAAAGGCATACTGTATCCCTTATTGTAAAGTTTTGATAAATTTTATAAAAGATAGAGCTGCAATAGCAATTCAAATTTTAATCACTTAGGAACATTAAAAGGTTAAAAGCCTGTTAGCAAGATGACAAAATAACTGCTCTGTAGGTTTAGGTTCTTTAAAAAAAACTATAATCAGAGTTCTGTTCAGACTAAATGTGAAAAAAATAATTAGCATAGTCATCAAATTTTGACAGCTTGAATTAGGAAGATGTTTTTTCAAATTACTTTGATTTTCAGTATCTTAAAGAAACAGAGAAGAAATTCCATTAATACTGATACTGGGCCGAGTGTTTAAAGAGAAATGAAGGATGCAGATAAATGGGGCCGAAGCACAGGTGCTTTGAAGAGGAGGTTAGTAGCAGGACAAAGATGCTGTGGGAGTTGGTTCTTATAAGAGAGTTACCTGGAACGAAGAGCTATGGAATATATTCAACTACCAGTATTCAGTAAGTGTCTTCTAGTAGCTTCTATGTAAAATCTTTTTTATTTCCATTTTATGTGCAACAGCAGAACTATTTGGTGCACTAGATACGTGGGAGATTTACCAGGGTGTTTAATAATGTGTTCTGGAACTGTTTTGCATTCCTAATTTAGGTACAGAAAGCTAAAATAAGGAAAAGGCATGAATTCAAATCTTTTGTTATGCGTTTAGCTTTTTCTCACTGCCTTGAAACACTGGGCTTGAAACATAATACTGACTTACTCTACTGGTTGCTGCAGCTTGTATCTCTACTGATACTTAGCTCTCCATATTTTTTTTTCTAATTTGTTTGGGGGCTTTATCCAAACCTCATAATGCAATAAAAAGATTTTCAATTATTATACTTTTAAAAAAATTTAAAAATAGACTATTTAAACAAGTATTTTAATCCTGCCTGGTTAGTTTTGACTGCAGTACTCCAATGTTTATTTTTGTTAGCTGTGTGTGCAGCCTGAAGCTACAGGACAAATAGTTTGTCAAAGTTTTCAAAGCATTTCTGTTAACCTAAGACATGGGTTTTTAAAGTTAGCTTTTCTGTGTGTTTTTATTGAAAATAACTAAAAGTTAAATACAACGGGTTGTTAGAATGGAATTACAACTGGGTGGGAGCTTGATGCAGATACTTGATGACTGTGGTCATGCGAAACTTCAAGGTGAAGTGTTGTACACTGGGATTAACGTTACACGGGGCGGTGGCGTTTGCTGCCACAGTATGTGGTAATTGCCCAGAAGAGAATCTGTTGTGCCTGTCACGGCGTGTGCGCGGTGCGTGAGGCCCACCCACGTAAGGTCGGCTCGGCCGAGAGCGAAGGAGGAGTTGGGAGATTCTTCTGGCTTTGGCGGTGGTTTTCTGCAGCGGTAAGTCTGCGAATGGGGAGTTGTTCCGCGGTGTTCTTTACTCTCCGCTGTGCGCAGGACAGACTCCTGTCAGCAAGAGGGCTCGATGCCACAGCAGGGTACAGAAGCACTTCCACTGCTGCCCCGGGGGCTTTTCACCGCCCACCTTGTGCAGAGGGCTGGACTGGCCTCAGCTCCTCAGCCTGCTTTGTTGGGTGGTGGTTGTCTTCTCCTTAGAGTCAAATGGGAAGAGCCAGTCTAGTGAGATCACCATCATTCCTCATGGAATCAAAGTATGAGTGAACACTCTCCCTCTTAAATTTTTGTGTCTTTTACATGCAAAAGTTTTACTGAGCAGCTTGGAAGTTTGATCAAGAAAATCCTCCCCCATGGCCCTGCCGTGCCTTCATGCTGATTCAGGCTGTTGAAAGGATCTTGCCATCTTTGTGGATGCCACCGTGTCACGGTGCTTCAAAGAAATGTACTGATGCTGCTCCACAGCAATTAGTGTCCCATAATTACAATGGGGCCTTCTGCGAGGAGGCAAATGACCATAAAGAACTTTTGCTGAAATTCAGATTTTATCTTTAGCTTTTTCTTAACCAGGAATTCCTACTGAGCAATACTGACATCAACATTACAGTAAAATGAGGAGCATTAATTCAGAGAATATGGCTCTGTGAGCAACTTCTCAAAATAACTTGCTTTTTCCTAGGACAGGAAAGAGGACAGTATATATTCAGTTACAAGTGGCTTGGATAAACAAAACCCCAAGGAAAATCTGGGGAAAAATGGTATTAATTATATTGTATGTAATATTTCAAGGTAAGTGAAAACTACTTGGTTGCCTTCGGATAATTATTAATTTGCAATTTTATAGCCTGGACAGGTATTCATGATGGCGAAGATAAAATGTTTGATAGTTTAGAATTGCTAGAAATATATTAGATATTTGAATTAGGGTTTTGCTCTTAGACTGAAAAATGGCATTTACTATCAAAAAATGAAAAAAACTTTTGCAGAGTCCTACTGTAAATATCTAGGAGAATCATTACAATAATTGCTGAAATGCCAGGTTTAGTAGAAATGCATATGGTCACCTGCAAATTTTGGAGAATTAATCAATCTAACTTCCAGAAGTTAACAAGACAGCATTTAAATTTATCCATGTTATGTCTTTTTGATCTTAAGATAGATCTTGCTGTAAAGTTCTTGACACAGTTTCTCTTATGTTACTTAGTTTTGCACAGTACAGTGAGAGTCACTGCTTAAGCCAAATAATTAATCTTCCAAACACAAGCTTTTCAAAAGTGGGTGTCAAGCTATGGTAGTCTCTTCCCTTAACTTCTGCATAATAGAGAGAGGCTCCTGAGCCTAGGGTGGACTTCACCTCCCCTTCCTGCGTAACCCACCTGTGGGACAGTATTGGCGTCAGCACGGGAGCTCTCTTGGTAGGGGACAAGCCACCAGAAAAATAAGTGGTCCTTCAAATGTCTATTTTGGTGTTTTGCAAAATAGGATGTACCAAAAGTAACATTAATTTGACTCCT